ATCGTCCACAACCACAAGTGAGCAACTTTAGGTGGCAGTTATCCATTGTATGTCAAATTAAAGACGAAAGGAACTGGTTTCAAACTCTTCAAGTAGTTAATTAATATGACCGACCACAAGTAACAATTTAATTATTATTTTAAAAAGGTCAATGATATATTAGCTTTTTAAGGTTAAAAACAAAAGCACATTCCTCCATCTCCAAGTGGGAGGAGTGCGCAACGTCTCCGCCATTGTCACCATTCAATGGATATTGGATATATAGCGGATACAACCGCACACCCACAACATCTTTCAACTCTCACCTAAACACACACACTCTCTCTCTAACAAGTTTCGATTAATATGGTACAGAGCAGAGGCTGTGTACAATAGTTTATACTTGACCAGAAAAAGAAAACTCCTACATATCCTATATATATAGAAATAGAATTGGTGATTAAACAAACAAGCCGATCGGACCATTGATCCGGGTTCCGTGAGTGGTTGAATTAAGTGCCAACAGGTATATCTTGCACGTACGCTGTAATTGTCATTATTTAATGATTTGCTAGTTGCTAAAACCATGATTTTTGAACCGTCATTGATATGGACGGTTGGATCGTTTGGCTCAGAAACTGTCTAGATAATCGGTTCTGTTTTATCCCAAATTTGATTTTTGACCAAAAATCATTGAATCGTTCAATGATTCGTTGATTCGGACTGACAAACTGTTAATCTATCGACCTATTTAATGATTTTTAATATTTTTTATTTTTAATTATTATTTTATTGTCTAAATAAGCCATCTGTTTGAACTGAACGATAAACCGCCAACTCAGAAACCAATGGCAGAACTATTCCATTTCAGGTCGTTTTATAAAACCATCACTAAAACCACAAAATTGCCAACTGTGGATTCGTTTTGCTTCTTGAGTGTGGTGTTTGGCATCGCTTCTGATTCTGGCATTTTGATTTTCATAATACCACCAGGGCACTGTTTAATTCCTCAAAAGCGATGATATCTGACGAGTTCAAACTTCAAACAATGAAAACGTCAAAATGGATGCCATGCCAATTAAACACAGCCCTAATTTAATTTGTTTAATACCTAAAAACAAAAAAAGTAAAAGATGCTAGTCAATGGTCAGTCACTACAGGCCAAGGGACAGGACTTGATCCTAAAGATTTAGTGGTACAAACCCTCTACATTAGACTCCCTTTGAACAAATATTTTGAATTGCTTCAGTTATGATATCAACAATAATATAACCACAGTTTAAGCCGCCTATGGTTTACAAGTCTTCTCCCGGCTCTTCTAGAAGCTGTAAAATTCCCGACTAATTATCTCTCTTTTTCTCTTAGTAAAATGTCATTTGAATTAGTAGCATTTATTCAATTTCAAAGCCTGTGGTTTTTTCATTGTTATTATTATTATTATTATGGTTTTGGTGTTGAAAAAGGAAGACCCATTTGATGAGGTGTTGAATACAACCGACTTGAGCCATAATATGTCAACTTAAACCGTAGCATGAAAACTAAGTTGGACCAAATTTCGGGTATAACAAGCTTAAAATTTAAATGGCACCCTGACTTTATTCATGGGATCAAATAAATTAAATGCTAACGGCTGTCTGACTTTCTTTTAAGAAAAGGGATTACTTTTTTAATTAAACAATGAGTACTCAGAATTAAAAACACTTATTAACCATTAAATAAAATAATTTAATGCAAAGACAAGCAAGTGTTACGCATTTTATTCTAGATGATTACCGCATCTGCTTAAAAAAAAAACAAAGAACACTATCATCATTAATACTATCACATATAAATAGGTCACGGGGGTTTCCTCCTGGTTCAGCCCTTTTAGGGAAGTGATCCAGAGGAAACAGGAGACCCACATGTGATAGCATAGTTGGAGGCCCAACAGGGCCCACAGATTCTCAATTCACTGGACTTTTCTGCAGGAAAAATTGAAAAAAAAAAAAAACTTTTCCAGTTAGCCAATCGAGAACCTATTTTATCGGGTTTATTTGTTGTTTATAATATTTAATATTTAAATGGGATAGCGAGGTATAGCAGATGGGCAATTCAGAGGGTCAGTTGTAGTAGTGTTCATTAGTTGAGGTGCAATTAGTAGTCTCTATCCTACTATCCAAAGTTAATTGAGCGTGGTAGCTAATTTAATTAAGCAACCTGAACTATGTTCTATGTGGGGCGAGTGAAATAAAAGGGTGGTCCGTGGTCGCCTCCTCTTAGCCCTTAGCCCTCCGGCCCCTAGCAATCTGTCTTTGACTTTTTATTTGTTTGCACACAACACAAACCAATAAACTTCAATTCAAGCAGTACATGTAGATTAAATAAGAAACTAAAATCCTGGATGCTGGATCTGCGGAAGAAGATTGTTCATTATCACTCATGTACCCCGGCCTCTCTCTCTCTCTGTCTCATAGATTCATCAAAGACTAGGCCAAGGATCAAGGAACAACGGTGCTTTGCGTTATAGTCTCGACTCGGCTGACAACACCAGCCGTATATGCCAAGACTTTTAAGTGATCTCCGCTTCCGGTTGCCAGTAAAAAGAAAAGGTGGAGCCCACACAAAGGAAAGAAAAAAATAAGAACCAATTTGCTTTGCTTGTGAGATGTCCCCCTTCCATATGGAGTAAAGGTCAACCCTTATCTCACTGGCATCAACTAACCCCCCCCCCCCGATTTTACCGAGTCTTCGATCGGACGGATATATTTCAATCTTTGACCCCCTCCTCGCTCATCTTTCACGCTTCCTTGATCCTTGTCGATTGTCATCTATTCTATGAACTACGATAATCTAGCTAGAGAGAGAGAGAGAAAGAGAGCGCTATGACTATGAGATTTTATCTCCCGCTCTGCCTCTTGTATTGTCACGTGTCACCCCATCCATGATCCACCCTTAACCACGAGAACTCCCGTCTGAACGACTTTTACAACTCAACGGTGAACGGCCCCATTCATAAAGAGACGGTCAATGTCGTGACATTTGCTCCTTTGGACTATTAATAAAGCGGTTTTCTTCACCTCTTTCCTCCATACCGAGTCGAGACTCGAGGATTGCCTACACGTGGTACGACTTGACTCGTTACTCCTTTTGACGGCAGATGGCCAGAAGCGACAAGTCAGTCACCCGATGCCTTGCATTGCGAAACCCAGTTTGACTCCACGGAATCCACAACCCCCCTCCCCCT